GAGGAGGAGGAGGAGGAGGAGGAGGAGGAGGAGGAGGAGACTGGATTCATACCCCGCCCCTCACTAACCGAAGGGAGTCTCGGAGCAGATTACAAACTCCTTTCCCTTCCCCTCCCCACAACAGACACCCTTTGAGGTAGGTGGGGCTGAGAGAGCTCTTTCCATAACTGCTCCTGAGAGAGAACAGCTCTAAGAGAACTTGTGACTGACCAAAGGTCACCCATAGCTCTGACACAACTATGGCTTGCCCAAAGTCATCCAGCAGCTGCAAGTGGATGAGTGGGGAATCAAACCCAGTTTTCCCAGATTAGAGTCCGCGCACTTAACCCCGACACCTAATCTGTCCTCCCCTGCCATGCGCTCCTGGTTTCAATGATTTCGGCGGTGGGGTGTATGTGTGCAAACAAGGGCAAAATCTTTGTATCTTTCCAACTCGCAAGTCTCACTCGCAGCACAATCTCTCCCACCACCCTCTCTTGGAATGTTCTCCCCGGGGCTACCAAATCGATTCCGCGGCAGGGGAACATTTTTGCTTCCTGCCGACCATCCGCTCCCCTTTTGGAGGAAACGTCACGCTCCCCGGAACAGCGCCTTCTTCCACTGAGAACAAACAACCCTCCGGAAATTCAGCAGGGCCCTGACAAGAACATGTTTTGCTGGAGACGGTGGGCTCCCCCCTCCCTGGCAGTCTTCAAACAGCGGCTGGACAAACACTTGTCAGGGATGCTTTGGGCTGATACTGCGTTGGAGAGCCAGAAGGAGGAGGAGGAGAAGATTGGATTCAAACCCGGCCCTTCCCTGGGAGTCTCAGAGCGGCTTACAAACTCCTTTCCCTTCCCCTCCCCACAACAGACACCCTGTGAGGCAGGTGGGGCTGAGAGAGCTCTGACAGAAACTGCTCTTTGTCAAGGACAGCTTTTATCAGAACTACGGCTTGCCCAAGGTCATCCAGCAGGTGCAGGTGGAGGAGTGGGGAATCAAACCCGGTTCTCCCAGATTAGAGACCGCGCACTTAACCACTACACCAAAGGTGTCTCAGAGCGGCTTACAAACTCCTTTCCCTTCCCCTCCCCACAACAGACACCCTGTGAGGCAGGTGGGGCTGAGAGAGCTCTGACAGAAACTTCTCTTTTTCAAGAACAGCTCTTATCAGAGCTACGGCTTGCCCAAGGTCATCCAGCAGGTGCAAGTGGAGGGGAACCAAACCCGGTTCTCCCAGATTAGAGTCCGCGCACTTCACCACTACCCCAAACTGGCACCAAACAGAAGGTACCACATGCCCAAGTCTCCTATCCCAGGGTCACCAAGTACTATCTTCACCCCCAGCGGGGGGGGGGGCCTTTGGGGGGCGTGGCATCCCCGATGTGATGACCTCACGTTGGGGACGTCGTCCCCCCTGCCCGCCCAACAGGGAGCCGGTGTTTCCCTGCACGTCTGACCTCCATGGAGATCGGACACGCAAAACGCCGGCTCCATGCAGTTAAAGGGGCCCCTTTAACTGCAGGGAGCCGGTGTTTCCACACGCCCGATCTCTGAGCAGAGATCGGGCGTGTGGCTGGCCCGCAGCCACCCCTCTCCCTCCTCTCTCTCAAGAGAGAAGGGAGAGGGGTGGTGGCGGGTGGTGGGGCTTGGAAGCGGGGCTTCTCCTGGCAGGTAGAAGCCCCCCAAAAGCGGGGGACCCCTGCCAAACCAGGAGGTTTGGCAACCCTAAGACACCCTGTGAGGTTGGTGGGGCTGAGAGAGCTCTTTCCAGAACTGTCCTTGAGGGAACAGCTCTGACAGAAATATGTCTTGCCCAAGGTCATCCAGCAGCTGCAAGTGGAGGAGTGGGGAATCAAACCCGGCTCTCCCAGATTAGAGTCCGCGCACTTAACCTCCACACCAGACTGGCTCTCAAAGGTGGACTACAAAAAATGTAAAGAAAACTCCTGTCATTCCAGAGACTGTGCAAAACAGAATTGCTCTTTATAACTCCTTTAGAAAGGCTGTAGAAAAATGGAATTTTTGCAGACACTTTTTGCAAAAAGGTAGGGGTTGTAGCATAGGGCAATGTTTATAGAATGTTGTTACTGTTTGCACTGGTATCGTTTCCTGACTTTGCATTCCAGCCTTATTGCGCCGCTCAATATGCATCTCTTGCTTTGTTCAGTTTTGTAATCCACCGCTCAAAGACGGATGACAGATAAAGGAAGCAAATAATGTTCCCATCCCCAAATGGAAGATCCCCAACAACCCTTGGAAAACGACCGTCACTCTGATTCGCTTCCACATCCCGCCCCACCCAACTCTATTTTATGAGATTAAAAATACCCCTCCTCGTATCACAGCAATAATACTGGGAGGGAGGGGGATTGGAAGGCTCACAAAGCGTTTTCCCCCCATTCACCAAAAGATTATCTGTATCGATGATTAATAACCCCAGTCACTAACAAACCTAAGCCTCTAGGCCTCGATTACGGCGACCAGCTGACTGGTATTTTACCTGCCTGTTCAACATTTGGGTCTTGGGAAATTCAGTTTCATAAACCAGGTATTGATGCTGTCAACCACATCTGCCAGGACCAAGGCCTTGGCCTGCCAGAACCACACCAAATTTCCCCCTTTGGTACGGCCAATAAAGTTTTCAGGATCCAATCCCGACTATCACAACCTGTCCTCCGGGTATCATTCAAACTGCAAACGGACAACCATAGCAGCTGCCAATTGTCCATCATTTGACCCTGTCATGCTACCCCGTGGGTTGCCACCTTCCTCTGCCACCACTCTGGACTTAGGGTCCCTTGGGAAGGTCCAGAGTATCCTCCCAAGCACAACCAAAAATGCCCCTTTTAAGCCGAGAAATATAGGTGCGATGACCAGGCAGAGAACATAAAAATGGTTTATTAATACCATAATGGGCAGCGGAAAAACAAGGTGCTTAAAATCTATAACAGTGTCTAAAGGTAAATAAAACAAATCTAACGCGGCTACCCATTTCTCTTAACTGGTTATTATTCAGGGCCCACAGCCTTTTATACCAGGCCTGTGCCTGTACTCACTCTGTCCCAAGTGAGGGAACTTTCTCTCAGACCAGACTGTCCCCACGGCTTAGCTCTGTGAGAGAAAAGAACACGGTTCCACAGCCCACAAAGTTTTAAGCAACAATCTCCTCATACAATCCCTGGACACCGACTGGTTACAACCGGCGCCAAGCATTGTGGGGATTGTAGGCGGTGTCTGATTTCCACTCCCACACAGGTCTCCTGGGCCTAGGCCTCACTAGGCCTAGGCCTCACCAGTCCTACACAGATCATGACAGACCCTCGTCCACATAATTCCCAACAAAGAATCTGGAGAAATGAGCGAACGCAAAGTACAGAGGGAGCACGGAATAACTCCTTGGGGTTCTGGTGCAAAGAAGAAGGCAGTCGACCTACCAGCAGCCTCGAAGAGCGTAGCCTTCTAGTAAGGAGACGGGCGAAGACGGGCCCTCGGGTGCAAACGCAGGCTTCCCCCCTTCTCACGAAGTTGCAATTTCTCTCTTTCAGCCCTGTGAAAAGTGAGTGGAGGGGAATCTTACATGAGAGGCTTTTCCTTGAAGAAGGTTCCACAAGCATTTCTCTGCAGTAATTCTGAAATTCTTCACAACACACTGGGTTTATTTATTTATTTATTCATTCATTCAATTTATATCCCGCACTCCTTGTGTAGCAGGCTCAGGGTGGCTTACAGTAGGCTAAAATACGTTAAAACACGGATGCATTGAGACAATGCAATAATGTAGTATACAAAAAATGGCAATCATAAATACAAATAAATCATGGTCATTTCCTGCAGGAGCGCAGATCCGGCAGTAAGGAGCCCAGGGGGCGGGTACATGCAACAAGCCCCACCCCCTGCTCCCAGCAGCCCTCAGTAGGGCCACGAGGAGCAAGAAGCAGCCAGGTAAGTTGCAGAGGGACCCGCCCCCGCCCGCATTCAGGTACAAGCTCTCCCTCCTCTGTGACGGCAGATCTGCACGTCCCCCCCCCCCCAATCCCTAGCAATCCAAAACACTCCCATCGC